TTAAAAACAATATTATCATATTATTAATTTTTATTTAAGTCTTTTCTTTTTTTGATTATCATGTTGTTGTTTTGTGATGTGTCCTTTTTTTATAACATTCAAAATGAATATTTGCTTTCAAGTATAGAATGTGTTAGTATGATTAATTCTGTTATAAATATCACTATAATATAAGGGCAAAAATATTATTTGTTCATAAACAACTGCAACGCATCTGTTTCAAAACCCTAATACAGCCAACTTCTCCGTAGTACCTTCCATGCATCAAATTCCTGCCACAACTACATAACATACGTAACATCTTTTTAACAAGCCACAGTTACCTTAACCCTTAAGTAAAGCACTATTGTGAATACTTCTTCCTTATCTTATATAGCTATTTAATACTTGGGCATTTACATACATACCACATAATTCCTATATATTACTTAACTGAAATTTACATCTTCTACTTATAGCAACTCAATTCTTTAATATCACATAAACAATACCACCATTTTAACTTTTTAAAAAAAAAGTGAAATACACCTTTTCATGCATAGGTAAGATGGCATGTATGTAAAAACCGAAGTTTAGGTGTTAAATAGATAAATACATATTGTGCAGCTACGCATTATTAAGTGTTATACTTGAGTATTCGAATTATAATTTATCACTTTTTTATCATTTTATCACAACAAACAGCTTGAATCCGAATCGTTCCAAATTACATAATAAGCCATCTCACGAGCCAGCTTAAACTCTACACCATATTTTATATCCCTCAACATATTCTACATCCAACTAAACCAATCAATCAAAATAATATACTGTCCTGGTTTCTCGCACTGTATTCTTTAAATACATGCCTTCCGAATACTAACAATCAACCAGCCCCTATATCACAATCATTGGCTAACTCAATGGTAATGCTCAGTTCTTGAGCCTATCCCATATAAATTGCAGGTTGTTCAACAATCAGATCCAACTGCACCAATCACAGATCTTCGGAAGGCACAACAAAGCTTGATTCCAACATCCAACTGCCACCAGTGAGGTGCAATTAGGAACAGCAGTTGGCCTTGGTTACAAGCTGTCTTCCTCCTTATCAAGAGATGAAGAAAGGAAACTCAAAATAAAGCCATCAATATCTCCCTCTAAAACAGAATCAGGGTCAGAAACTTCGTAATTTGTTCGGAGATCTTTCACCATCCGGTATGGCTGCAGGTAGGGGAGCCTATAAGCACAGGTGCAGCTTTCTAAGAAATAATGTATTGTAAGAAAATATGACTTACGTGAAGAACATAAGATCTTATCTGGTTTCCCCAGCTGATATCAGTGAGAGACTCCGTGTGCTCGGCATTCATTTGTGCCTGACGAGCAGCCTCGAGTTGATCTAACCGAGACTGAAGAACAGCCATCGCCGCCGCTTTGTTTTGGTGTTGGGACCTGAAAGACAAACAGGCAACTCGACGGGTAAAATATCAAGGTTGGACACTCTGAAGCAATTGTAGTACGGATGTAATAAAATATCATAATCACAATCACCTAGAGTCCACGATACAAGTACTGCAATGGAAAGGCTACGAGAAAACAGAACAGAAGACATGAATAAGATTACCATTACCTTTCATTCTGGCATGTAGCAGATATTCCTGTGGGAATGTGTACAATCCTCACAGCACTTTCAGTTGTATTAACATGCTGGCCACCTGCACCACTTGCACGAAATCTTTCAATTCGAAGGTCTGAATCCTTAATTTGAAAGCGGGATGGTCCATCGTTTAAGATTGGTATTACAGCTACAGCGGCAAAAGAAGTATGGCGACGCTTCCCGGTATCAAATGGTGAGATCCGTACCAATCTATGCACCCCAACTTCGGCTTTCGCATAACCAAAAGAAAATTCTCCATCTACTTTGATTGTTGCACGCTAAAAGGGGAGAAGAAGGTATTAGAAACATAATACTTTGATTCAACTTCAGTTACTAATGCTGTTCTATGAGAGTGGTGCAAATAATATGTGACATGTACATAGATTATGAAAAGCTACATGAGGTTGGATTGTAGGAACAAGAACCTTGATTCCTGCTATCTCACCAGGCATTTCATCCACAACCATAACCTCATAACCATGGCGTTTAGCCCAACTGATATACATGTTAAGAACCATGGAAGCCCAGTCCATGCTTTCTGTACCACCAGCTCCGGCTTGAACCTGAATGATGATTATAAAAATCATCAGATCTTGAACTGGGAAACAGAGGACCAATTACGAAGTAACAAAATGAAGAAAAAATTAATGCAGTTAAGAAGAATATCTCTGCACAGATTTTCTGGAAGAAATAGGAGATTCAAAGCAACTTGTCACGGACAAATA